GTTTAGGGTTTAGGGGTTTAGGGTTTGTGGTTTTGGAGTTTCGGGTTTTTAGGGGTTGAGGGTCTAGGGTTTGTGGTTTTGGGGTTTCGGGCTTTTAGGGGTTGAGGGTTAAGGGTTTAGGGGTTGAGGGTTTAGGGTTTAGGGGTCAAGGATTTAGGGTTGAGGGGTTGAGGGTTTGGGGTTTAGGGTTTGTGGCTTAGGCTTTGTGGTATAGGGTTTCGGGTTGAGGGGTTGAGGGTTTGGGGTTTAGGGTTTGTGGTTTCGGGTCGGCAAGATACCTTGGAGCCGCGAACGAACTCTCCTCAAGCATCGAGCGCTTGAACCCCACAAGACCTTGACTTAAGCCCCTCATCCTCAAACCCGAATACCGAAATCTCAGAAGTCTCTTCACTTTTCCTCACACCCATGCCCTCCTGGTCTAAGAACTCCCAACTCCCTAAACTTTGAACCCTGGCCTAAACCCTACAAACCCTGTACGCCGTAAGCAATTCCGAAACTCTTCACCCTGCCCCAAATCCTTTCAACGTTATACTTGCACCCCAAACAGATCCCTCCCTGAGGCAGTCAACGGCCTTGTGCTCAGTTCGCTCACCGAGCAGGACCCGCAAAATTCGGGGGAGACTTAAAACTTAAATTCCGGTTCAGGGATTGTGTGGTTTAGGGTTTAGGGTTTCCGGGTCATCCACTGTATACTGTTGCAATGTAATATGACGTGCACACGGTGATATGATGTATTGTTTTGCCATTTACTGCACTGTGTTGTGCTCTAGTGCAGTCGTGAAGGTAAGGTAACGGGTACAAGCAGCTTCCGATTTACACAACTAGTTGGCTCAATTCAAGGGATCTACTGCAGCCGTTCTCGGCCATACCTAGTTACATGCGACTGATTCGTCATTCTGAGGAAAGTCGCCCCCTTCTGCCACCCTAAACCCTAACCCCTAAACCGTCTTGCAGACTTGGGCTCCTCTTTGAGTTCTTTGGTGTGTCGCTTCAGACCGGTCCGGCGCATGTTTTGGTCAGCGATTGGTTGGTGCGTGTTCCGAGATGCACATCCTGCTTCCGCCCTTACAGACGCAGGAGCTTGGCTTCGGAGCCTCAGGAGGCATGGACCGTCTACCTTCATCAAACAACATCGTCACAATCATCATCAACAACAGCAACGCACAACAACGTGATCGTATGTAACCAGCACCCTGTATCGCCGTGGTCAGTACCACCATTGTGAAAATCACCATCTTCTTCAGTCTCAGCAACATCGTGATCATCTTCACTGACAGCATAAAGCTCATTGCAAGGCTCATGGCTAGCCTCATTACCGCGACCTAAACCCTAAACCCTAAACCCTAAACCCTAAACCCTAAACCACTACTAACAGCGATACTCATGGCCGAAGTAGCTTCAAGGCAAAACCCGAAAGCGTGGTGTGAACGACCAGCTGTTGGCGCAGGACTTAGAAGTTCTGGGCATTTCGAAGCAGCTCGGCAAAAGCACTGTGTTGTTTTGAGAATACAGGACACAGGGTTCAAAGGTCTTAAATAGAGCTTCTTGGGTTGAGTCTTCATTGCTTATATCTCAAAGGGATGAAGGTTCGGGGTTGAGGAACCACACCGTCACTTGTCGTAATCGGTTCTTTTCCATCGAGGACGTCATACTGTGACATGTGTGCGGTCTCTGTGTGATTTTAGTTTGGGGTTGGGGGTTTGGGTTTGTCTCGTCGAATGACTTCGTGCAACGTTTGGTGTAGATTCCGCACGAACAGGCATTGATTGATGTGTATGTATGCGGCTATGATCTGCCGCATGCATTAAACCCAACTAGCTCAGACTCTAATCCGTGTTTGAAGTTTCCTATCATTATGACTAGCATGTTGACTAAAGCTGATTGCTACTGCCTGCAAGTATCACGAACATGTCGAGTAATTAGCGCTCGCCCTACTCTCTGAAATTCAAGACTACCGTCATCGTTTCTGCTGTGCCAGGCACTTCCGCTTGCTACTCTCTTACGGTCTTTTTGGCACTCTTATGCTGCTGTGCAGGACAGAGAGATTCGGCGACTGGCACCCCGATCTCTTGTTTAGCGTTTCACAGGCCTTAAGTTCTTAAGCACGGGTTGCCTTCGGGGTTATGTCTTTTGATGAGTCGTAAAGCTGTTTGAGGAGTGTGGGGATCGCGGGCTCTGGGGGGGGGGGGCGTCCACTGCACAGTCATGAAGCTTTAAGCTGAAGACGCGACCCGGAACACGAAACCCTCTTCTGAGTGTCCCTGTACTCAAACAGTACATGCTAAAATACTTATTCGTGGACTACTTTTCTAAAGCCTAAACCCTAAGCCCTAAATCCTAAACCCTAAACTCTAAGCCCAGAGTATATACGATTTGGGTCCATGTACACGGGCCCTTAGGGCTCCTGCAGCAGAGGTTTGGCTGGCGTCGACAGCTGACACTTCTAGCTCGTACACAGCAGGTGAAGGCACCTTTGGGGTTCAGGGTTCAGGATTTAGGGTTTAGGGGTTAGGGTTCAGGGTTCATGGTTTAGGATTTTAGGGTTTAGGGTGGTTTAGGTTGCGATATCTCAGGGGGCATGTAGATTTGGTGCTTAGGGTTCCATGTGTAGGATGGGCTTCCGTCCGTATTGCCACAAGACTTAGATAGCCAATAGGAGGACTTTAAACTTTTCGGCTTTATCTATTAGGTCTATCCTAAAAGTTTGAACTTTTTTGGGCCTGGTTGTTGAGGAAGAGAGGAGAACGAGACTCTGCAATGTCCCAGGTCTGTCTTTCCAAGGGGCAGGTAGCTCAAAGCAAGAAGGATCAAGCTAGGAGATTGTTTTGAAAGGCACCCATAATAGTTCGAGGCCCTTTTTACTGAAATAGGTACCCTAAATACGGCCTGAAACTTTGGATTGAAGGGCCCGTGCTTGCGTTTTGCTTTGGAGATTGTGTCACTTTCGGACAGCCTTGCCCCGGCATTTAAGCCGAGTATAAAGCTAGATCCTGCACCCTCCATGCATGAGTTGTAGTTCAAAATCCGTCCGACCAAGACCCAACTAGAACTGCCGTGAACCCTAAACGCTAAACCCTGAACCCTAAACCCTAAACCCTAAAGCCCTAAAGCCCTAAAGCCCTAATCCCTAAAAGCCCAAACCCTAAAACCCTAAAGCCCTAATCCTAGCTCAAGTCCCATACTGCCAGACGCAAGGCCCTAAACCCTAAACCCTAAACCCTAAACCCTAAACCCCTAAACCCTAAGGTTCTCAGGGTTCGGGCTTAGTGCTTCCAGAGATCCAGACAGAATCCGGGCGATTCGCCTAGGGTTTTAGGGTTTTAGGGTTTAGGGTTTAGGGTTTAGGGTTTAGGGTTTAGGGTTTTAGGGTTTTAGGGTTTAGGGTTTAGGGTGTCGGGTTTCGGGCTTAGGGTTTAGGGTTTAGGGATACTAGTATCCGACGTAATATCCCTTATCCTGTTGTAGTCCTTGTACAATTTGTACATATATAGAGTTGTCTTCAAACCCAATTCTAACTATTATGTCGAACCTGTTTCGATCCCTTTCAAGGAACCCGTTTCATGACAACGATTATGGCCCCTTTGTTTGCCTGCCTCCATCAGCTCCTTGAGAAGGTTTTCCGAACCAGGTAGCCTGCGTTTTAGAACGCCTTCTTGATAGAAACTGACGATGGTTTAGGGCTTCAGGGTTTTGGGGGTAGGACCGGGTAGAAAGTTTTACGGTAATAATTACTTGAGGCTCGCGGATTTGCTGTAAACCTTAAGCCCTGAACCCTGAACCCTACACCCCTAAACACTTAACCCAAACACCCCTGAACCCTAAACCCTAAACACTGAACCCAAAACCCTAAACTCCATGTCTTTGGGGCCTGTGGGCTTCAGATTTTTTAGTGGTTGAGGGTTTGGGATTTAGCGCTGCGGGCCTGGTTTTGAGTAGGACCTCTTACTAGAAGGGTAGTTACCTAAATTAGTGCCCCTTTTTCGGGTTACAAGAGCTTCGGTTTAGGGTCCCCAAAATAGGGCGGCACGTTCACGAAAGGGACCGTGAAAGGGACCCTAAATTAGAGAACTAGCCATAACCCTTAGCATCAAAATTATAGCCCCAATACCTCATGTAATAGGGTCTGTGGGCCCAACGGCCTTCAAACCCTAAACCCTAAACTCTAAGCCCTAAACCCTAAACCCTAAGAGAATATCTTTCTGAGGAGCCGCCGCCAGTCTTGGCACCGCAGGCATTGCTGGGGATGTGTTGAATGGACGGGTTTAGGGTTTAGGGTTTAGGGTTTAGGGTTCCAGGTCATCTGTCTTACGGCTGATGATCTAAATCCTCCATTACCCATAACAAGGAATATACCATAATTCCCATAGTTTAGGGTCCTTAAGGTAATGCAGGATTTATATCATCAGCAGTATGTTTAAGCTACTTGCGCCTTCCTGGCCCGATCCGAGGAGCGGTAGGCCGCAACGTAGAGACTGTTCTCTGAACCCACGGGTTGGGATTACAGGGGTTACCTGTGGCCCAAATAACCTACTGCCTGGACATTCCTTTGTAATGTTTATTTCGATCCTTTGGGGTTTTGTGATGGTTTCTCTGGAAAGCGGGTACTTATCAAGCATCGGCCACAAATCCTAAAAAGCGGCCATATTCGATAATCTTAAGCTCTGCTGGCAATGCCGAAACATTTCAGCCTCAAACCGCATCGTTTCCATATCTTCGGTTCCCAAGGTGTGCCCGTGCATGTTTGTTTGTGCATTCGTGCCTGGAATCTCCCGAGAAGACCTGAGCTCGTGGCAGGTCCGAACATGTTCGGGTGCATTTTGCATCAGCAGATCTTCAAAGTCGGCTCGGCTTGTTTAAACTGCGGAATTGTGTGTTTTGTGAGATTGAGGGTTCACATACGTGTTGGATTTCTCAAGGCTCCATGAAGTTCTGGTATCATATGCATGCATGTGTGCAGGACAGCTAGCTAGCATGCACTAGATCACTAGATAGCTTCGGCGATGCCCTGTTCGGACGGTGCTGCCATGGAAGCTGGCCCTTCCTGCCCCGTGCTTTCGGCATGGAAGCAAAGCCCTGTGGTAATGTCGCAGCTGTTGAAAGATAAGCTTGTGATTGTGCAGTACGCCAGCCTGTCGAGAGAATCCTTAGCAGATAACGTTGACTTGCTGGCTCCCCTGATCACCACCATGGGACTCTTGGCATATAACTGGCGACCTGCATGTACGTATATCTAGCTAGATTATTGATATCACCTAGCTTGTCCCCATCCCAGGAATGCGACCAACCGTGCCCGCCATCGCCGAGTACTTGAAAAGGTTTTACACTAACGAGTTGCCCATTTCTCGAAAAGTGCCAGCAGGCCAGCATCATGAGCATTACTATCCGGTCTTGCGCACATCCACAATATATCTGTCAGGCTCAGAGCTGCACGCCCAGGCTTGGATTATCAGAAATCTGATAACAATCTTCGCCAAAGTGGCGAAGAGGCCACACAGGCCCCGGTGCACAGGGATCCGCAATCTTTTCACAAAATCCGGAATACCTGTACCTGCGAGCACCTAGGCTTTACGCGATTCGATGCTATAGGACACGGATCTATCCTATCTAGATTATATAAACCCTAAACCCTAAATAAGCCCTAAACCCTAAGAAAAATATATGACTGTAGAACCCTTGTTCTGTACCCTAGGTAATCCCTCAGCGACACTGATCCGAGGTAATGCATCGAGCGCCGCCGGTGACGAAGCCGGGGAGTCCTCGGAAGAGGACGATGATGAGGGTGGTGAAGGGGGCGAGTCTGAGGAAGCTTCCGAAGACATGGTGATTGACGATGCTCCTGAGTTGCCTGGTGGTGCACCGGAAAGCCACCTGAAGCCAATCTCTGAAGAAGTTGTGGCAGCCCCGGACCCACTTCCCGAAGCCTCGACAAGCTCAGCTCCCGTGGCATCTACTGCAGCAGAAGCTTGACTGAAAGTTGCATGACATGGATCAACAATGTTATCTTACAAACGTTATCGCTAGCTTATATACCTGTATCCCTTGCAAAGCTGCCTAGGAGATCGATTCCGAGAAGCTTTCAAAGCTCTGCTTACCGGGCCACAATCCATTCATTATAGACAGCCTAGCCAGTGCAACAAACCGGCCCGACCCACAGGTGTGATTCCTCGGACAGCTCCCTCGGAGTCCTCGTCGTCGTCGTTGATTGTGACACCGCCGCCCAAAGGCTTCCAGGCGGCAACGGCACCTGCATACCAGACTTGATCGGATTTTGTTGAGTGCGAGTCTATATAAGGTTTGCCGTATTCTCCGCAGAGCGAGGCGAAGAAGAAAGGGAAACATTACTTTGTAAAGGACAGAACCTATGGGTATCGCTGCCTGAATTGCGACTGTGCAAGCCAAGAGTTAGATATTTTGAAGGCACTTCAGTGCCTTCCGCCTAAGGGCTCGGAGGCCAGGGTTCAGGCAACCGATGATGCTGAGATTGAGCTGGAGAAGCTACGAGACCTGGAGGCCGAGGGCTTGCAGCTTCAGGAGCTGCTTAAGTTTGAGCAGGAGCAGCTGGAAGAGATGATGTTGCAAGCCGAGCTAGATGAACTTGAGAGACAGGTAGCCCAAGAAGAGTACGAGCTACATGAGGCCAAGGTTCGTAGCCTTGAGGAAGCTGCAATCCAAGCAAGCAAAAGGTCAGTGGATGCTGAGCCACCAGCAGCAAGCGATGCAAAGCGCACGGCGGCAGCAGCAGGCGATGCAAATCAGGTGGACCCAACAGCAACAGCAGGCAATGCAGAGCAGGTGGACCCAGCAAAAGCAGCAAGCAACGCAAAGCAGAGGGACCCAACAGAAACAGCAGGCGATGCAAAGCAGGTGGACCCAACAGAAGCAGCAGGCAACGCAAAGCAGGTGGACCCAACAGAAGCAGCAGGGGTCATGGTGGACCCAGCATCAGCAAGGGATAAGTTGGAGCTAGCAACACCAAGGGATGCAAAGCGGCCTCGCATGGAACAGTCCAGCACGGCAGTGGTCAGCAGGGGGTGTTCTGGGGATGCCGAAACCCTGGCACAGAATGCATTGCTTCATGAGCCAAGCATGCCGCCGGGTAGAGGAGCTTTAGCTCAATAAATCCATGTGTTGCCTTTGTGCTTTGATCCGAAAGTTGATTAGGTGATTGCTCCTATTTATACAACCCCCGGCCTAGTTTTTTCAGACTGATGCCCAGGACCTGATTGCTTCGACACACTGCCCTATGATTGTGACCCGAACGACATCGGCCTGGAGCAGGAGAGCAATGGCATCGGCGATGTCGGCAAGGGGCAACACCTGCAGACCAGCGAGGTTTCAGGAAAGCCGGAGCTTCTTCGCTTGGCCCCAGCTGAATGTTTGGAAACTGAGGATACCCCAACTGAGCCTGATGATGCAAGCCACCACACTCTGCACTATGAGCCCTCCTGTGAGAGTGACTTTCGGATTGCAGTTGGTTACTGGATGTGTCATGTGTGTGTGTGTGTGTATCATGCAGTGGTACGAAAAATATCTAAGGCATCTGATCCTGATCCCAGATCTACCGAGCCAGTGCCCGCCACTTCCAAGGTCGATGATGAGTTGCCCCCTTGCCCAATCGACTCCGAGGTTGAACCGTTGTCTCCGGCTGAGCAGACTCAGCTGAGTGGGGCAAAAAAAGCCGCCGCCAAAGGCAGACCCAGGCGCTCCAGGAAGCGAGTTGGCGATGCAGAGAGCGGTGAAGAAGAGGATGATGAGGAGATTGTCTTGAAAAGGCCCGCAGGTCGAGGCCGAGGGCCTGGCCGTGGACGTGCTCGCACTGCTGGGGCAGAGGGCAGGGGCCGTGGGCGGGGACGGGGGCGTGGCAGGAAGGCAGTGTCTGAGCCCCCAACTCGAGGTGAGGAAAAGGGCGATGATCATGATGGTGATGATATGAAAGACGATGCCCCAGAGGATGATGAGACTTCGGGCCCAGAAATGGAGGAGGATAAGGAGAGTGCAGCCCCGTCGCCCCAAAAAAGGGCACCGAAAAGGAAGCTTGAAAAGGAGCCCGAAAGCAAGCCCATGGATGATGCGAAGCCCCGCACAACCAAAGCCAAAGCCAAAGCCAAAGCAAAAGCAAAAGCAAAAGCCAAGGCTGTTTGCAAGAGCAAAAGCAGCAACAGCACCAAGCCGAACAGCGCCAAGCCGAACCACACCAAGCCAGCAGCAGCAGAGACGGATCCGAAAGAACTCGCAAAGCAAGCTAAATCCAGGAAATCAGTAGCTTATCACAAAGCCTATAAGCAGGCCAAAGACCAAGGCAAACCAGAAGATCAGTGCAAGGCTGCGGCTAAGAAGGTACCCCGTTCAGTGTATTTGCATGTTTGCTGTGATTTGTGTCACACATGCAGTGTATACTAGATCTGTCATGACATGCGCAGGCCTACAGTGCGACATCCTGATTCGAAAGTGGAGCCGCCTACATGGTGCTGGATGCACATGAACGATGGCATCCTTTGGGTTTTATGTTCGCTCGTGCAAACATATGTTTGCCAATTGCGATGGGGTATGTGTGTGGTGTCAGTAAGAACACCAAGGGGCCCGAGCCGGTGTGAACATCGTGCACATTAGCTTCGCTCTGTCTGCGAGGGGAAAATCGATTTAGAGCCACGGCTTGCTGCACCAACTTGCAGTGAATCAATCATGTACTGTCAGCAATAGATGCTACCGCTTCACACATACACTTGCAGACTGAAGCCGTGCCCTAACCCCATCTTGCCAGGATGCCTCCAAAGCGGGATCGTGTCCAAGGATGGCAAGTCCGAGCCGCCAGAGCAGGCCCGCGAGGTTTGTGCGATCCTAGACACAGCATTCACTAGTGGTGCCAGTGGGAATCAGCTTCGAATGCAAGTCACACACGCCGATCTATGTGAGCCTCATGTGTAGCATGTGGGCCCAGCTGTCCAGCCGTGCTGTTTGTCGAGCTGCACAAACTCACA